ATGATGATGATGATGATGATGATGATGATAGTAATAATAATTGTGGATCATAGGCAAATGACACATTTTTAGGTCACATACTTATTGGTCACAAACCACCCATTATATTGATCACAAACGCTATTTGTCCTACCCCACTAGGCCACCACCTCACCTCCACCATCGACGTCATTTGTCGCTGCCACCTCACCTCCACCACCATCTAAACACTATAGCCACCGCCACCATCATTCCACTTCTTCACAACTTCACCATTGACACCACTCAAATGCTACGCCACCTTATCCCCATCATCGCTTTGTCATCCCACCAAAGCTCACACCAACAATCACCACCACCACCTCCTCAAATCAATCATCATCTTCACCTCCACCTTCTCAGAGGTTCATATCTTTCAATATTATTGTGCAAAACGTATTTACCTTTTATTTTTGACATTTTCACCCTTATTTCACATTATATTACGAAAATCATCATTTTCATCCATTTTTCTCAGTTAAAAGTTTTAAAATGACGAATATACCCTCTTATTTAAATTAAACAAAAATAAAGAAATGAAAAATAAAGAACAAATTGCAACTAGACTCCCAAAATTTTCAAAGGTACAGATAAATTTCAAATAAATAATTAAAAGAAGAAAGTGATTTTTATAATTATTTATTTGAAATTTATATATACTTTTTGAAAATTTGGGTTTATAGTCGCAATTCATTCTTTGTTTTTCTTTATTTTATTTCTATTTTATTTAAATAGGGGGGTACCTTCGTCATTTTGTAGTTTTTAATTGAAAAATGGATGAAAATGATGATTTTCGTAATGAAACATGAAAATAATAGTGAAAGTGTCAAAAATTGAAAGGTAAAAACGTTTTGTATAATAATATTGAAAGTTAAAAACATTTTGTGCTAGTTACCCTTTCAATAATTTATTTGGATTCATTTACAGTTTTTAAAAAAGTTTGGGGGTATAATTGTAATTCTATTCTTGATTTTTCTTTTCTTTTTGTTTTATTTAAATAGGAGTGTATATTTGTCATTTTATATTTTTTATTGAGAAATTTGATGAAAATGACATTTTTCTCAATAAAAGGTGAAAATTGGAGTAAAAATGCCAAAAAATAAAATGTATGAATGTTTTGTACAATAAAAAGTAAGAATGTTTCGTGCTAATTATCCTATTTTATTCTCCTTTTTTCCTTAGCCTGGCTTGGGCAGCTTTGTAGGGCTACAATTGAAATCAACTTGTAAAAAAAAAAAAAAAAAAAAAAAGGAAGCTTGAAAGCTACCCTGAAAAGGTGAAAACAACTGATGAATTTCTTTGATGCTTTTTTAGCTTTCAACATCAAAAATTGTGAATACGCATAATTTGACAGTTTTAAGATTTTTGCATCTGTTAAGATTTCTGTTTTCCTACTTTTGGTGCTTGAATTGGAGACGTGATGTTGGTTTTCACCATTTAAAGGAACATACCGAGCATTCTCTAGACATTTTGTTACTAAATTTACCATGCAGTGGTAAACTTGCATTTGATAAATGTTGATGATTAAAATTGACATGGCATTTAGATCAACTCGAGAAATTTAGGAGAACAACAGTGTTTGTTGCTGAAATTGTGTAAAGAAAATTGTAATTTTCATTGAGTGGTGTTTTGTACGTATTAAAGAGAAAGCTTAGCTAAGCTTTCTTTGGGGGGCTCTTGCATCCATATATAGGCCTCACACTAGGAGTTTGCCATCCAATGTCTTGTCAAGCTACAATGTTATTCTTCAAGGTGTGTGCGTCAATCCTATTTGAACATATTTCATTGATCGGGGAGTTCGACAAGATTATATTATCACGATATACCTAGATCGTATTATGTTATTTAGGTCGTCATTGCTTTCTCCTTATTGTTGAGCATGACGATGCTGACTTCAAATGTGACACGTTGTCTTTGATTGGTTGTAATGGGTGGTGTTGACGTCGTTGAGGAACATTTCTCCGGTTTAGATATTTCCTTAGGACAGCCATTTTGGCCACTATGACTGACCGAGTGATGTGCTTCAACCTCATTTCGTGTATGAGTTTCCAGTTATTTTAAGCTCCTTTAAATCTTTAATCACTTTGAAGTGGGTCTACACACTATTTGAGGTGACTCCTTGAGATTGGACACCAACATCATCTTGAACTTATTTTTCTTTTTTAATGTTATCAAGTGTCATTTAACTTAACTTACAACAATAAAACTATTTGTACATCCGGAATTGACATCTCGGATGAAACTTCCCTCAGAGGAGAGGGGGGTCCACACGTAATAAAATAATTGTGGACGTTCCTCTTGTAAGGGAGTGTCATCCGGAGTGTCAACCTCGAATGTACAAACAACAAAGTCCAACTTACAATCATACCAAGGTTATATTGAAAATGAAAAGCAGAGAACTATCCTAGGTCACTTTTCTATTTACTTTTAAATTCACTATAGAAGCACTATTTAACCATGTGTACGCGTTTGGCATAAACAGAGAGCTAATCTAGTTGATCGTTGATTCACCTCTCCGGCTCTTTTTACTTTTTGTTTATTTTTAAGAGAAAATTGCAATCGAGGTACCAAATCTTTCGTTTATTAGCAGACTTTACCCAAACTTTTAGTTAGTACCACCCAAGTCCCAAACCTTTCAAAAATATGCATCGGGGGTCCAAATGGATGAAAATCGTCAATTTGACCGTTAATTGACCAAGAAAAGTAAATGTTGACCTATTTTGACTAAATTGGAATGGAGAAAATGGTATCTTGATAATTACCATATTAAATAAATTGAAAAAAAATCAAAAAAATCAAGAAAAATCAAAAAATAAAAAATCAAAGAAAAAAAATTAAAAAAAGGGTTGTCTTCTTCACCCACCCCATCCCCATCTTTTTTCCAGCACCGCCGCCACCACTCTCGTGACTCCCACTACCACCAGGACTATTCGCCATCCTTTCACAAAAAACAAAACCCTAGCTCAACAACTAGGAATAATTTCATCACCATTTTCATCATCGTTGTCATTGTCCTCATCAGCATTAACAGCAGAAGCAAAATCTTCCATGGTTTCGGGTTCTATAAACTCCTCATCATCACCATTTTCGGGCTCTTTGAGAATAGGCTTATTGGCAACAATAGAGTCGCATTGCTTGCTGTTCTGAGACTATTACGAGTGATTTGGGAAGAAGAAGAAGATGCTTTATTAACGTCGTCAATAGTAAAGAGAGAACCGAGAGTGTTACGAACCCTAACGTCACAAGATTTTCTCTGGGGCTTAAAAAAGAGGCCTAAAGCTTCATTTTTTGAGGCGGAGAAAGATTTGATGGCGGCGGCGATGGCGGACGAGGGACGGCGAGAGGAGGAGGGCGTATTAGAAGAGGATTGATCTAAGGTGGTGAGGCGTTCGCAGAGGCAGGAAGGGCAAAACCTAGTAAATTGCTCATCTGGGTCTCGGTCGCAACTGATGACGAGTGCGGTGGCTGTGGAGGTTGCGACGACGGTGCTGTCGGATCTATAGCCGTAGGATTCATAACCGTTGAAGCTGGTTGTCTACACTCAACCCACAGCTGCTCATTTCACTCCATCTCGCATTTCACTCTTCTGGTGGCAGGCGGTGGTGCTGGGAAAAAGATAGGGGTGGGGTGGTTGAAGAAGACAGCCCTTTTTTTTAATTTTTTTCTTTGATTTTTGATTTTTTGATTTTTTTCCAATTTATTTAATATGGTAATTATCAAGTTACCATTTTATCCTTTCCAATTTAGTCAAAATAGGTCAACATTTACTTTTCTTGGTCAATTAACGGTCAAATGGAAGGTTCCATCCATTTGGAACCCCGATGCAATTTTTGAAAGGTTTGGGATTGTGAATGGCACAAACTAAAAATTTGAACAAAGTTTGCTAATAAATGAAAGATTTGATACTTCGATTGTAATTTTCCCTATTTTTAATTCCGTCTAAATTTGACTATCAAGGC